AAAAAAAAAAATTAAAAATAAAATTAAAAACTTAAACATTTAAAGATGCAAAAGGAGACATTTATCCACACGTTTACCTCTTGTATTCTTTTTTCTTTATGTTTAAAGAACTTTTTCCTTAGCAGTTATCTTAGAGTAGGTCTGCTGGTGATAGTTTCTCTTCATTTTTGTTTACTTGAGAACAAGTTTATTTTGCATTCAATCTCAAAGGCTATTTTCATTGGATCTAGATTTCTAGGTAGAAAGTTCTTTCCTTTCAGCACTTGAGAGATTTTATGCTACCTCCATGAGGCCTCTGTGGTTTCTGATAGGTGATGTGTGTTTTTTCTCTGGTTGTTTTCAAAATTCTTTTGTTGTCTTTAGTTTTCAGAAGTTTGATTTTGATGTGTGTGGGCATGGCATTTTGGTGATTTATTCTATTTGGGATTTTCTAAGATTCTTCAGTGTTTGGGTTTATTTCTTTTACCAAATTTTGAAGTTTTCAGCCATTATTTCTTCAATGTAAAAAAATTTTATTTTTAACTATACTGTCTTTCTTTTTCCTTTGGAACTCTGATTGAAATTTTGTTGGAACTCTCAGTGGCAGAATGAACATTAGGGTTTGTTTTCCTTATTCACAGGTCCCCAAGGCTCTGTTCCTTCTTTTTTCTTTTTTTTTTTCTGTAGCCTATTTTTTCCTCTGTTGATCAGACTGGACAGTTTAGATCAATCTGTCTTTGCATTCACTCTTCTCAAGTTTTTTTCTTTGTCATCTCCATTCTGCTATTGAGCTGCTTTTGAGTTTTTTTCCCCCTGGTTTCAGTTATTATATTTTTCATTTTTGAAATTTCTATTTGTTTCTTCTTTATAGCTTCAGTTCCTTTGCTAAGACATTCTATTTTTTTCACTTGTTTCAAGAGCATTCATAATTTTTCATTGGAGTATTTTTATGGCAATTCCTTTAAATTCCCTGTAGGATAATCTGACTTCTCTGTTCTTGTAGTGCTGGTGTCTCTGTTGATTATGTTTTCCCATTCAAATTGATGTTTTTCTGGGTTTTTGTATTTTTTTTTATTATATGTTGGTCACCCAGGTATAAATGTTTGAGACTGCTTTCTATTTAAAAATTCTGGCTCATTCCTAGCACTAGTTGGTATTGCCTTGCACCCAGCCTCTGGTCGACCCCTGGTGGCCAGGAGAGTGAAAGGCACCACCTCTTACAGCCAGGCCAGAGGTCAGGGTCCACTCACTGTGCAAACCAGGTGCCTAAGGTACCATTTATATGTGTGTGTGGTTGGAGTAGGGCTGATGATGTCAAAAGAGTTTTGGTCCTCTGAGAAAAGCAGGCTTACCTGATTTTTTGATCTATGTCATTGGTGTTTCTGGGTTGCCAGCTCCTTTGGCACTCAGAGGGTTGTACTGTAGACCCCTGGGGAGCTTACTGCTAGGTTATTTCTTGAGTCTGAGGTCCCCAAACAGCTGACCTTTGGCTCCTGCCTTTGCCGTGCCCATTGCCCTTCCGTGCCTTGCCTCCTGGGTGTTTAAGGCGGTAAGTGAAGAGGAGCAGGTGACATATGTCTGCCTTGTCTGGAACTAGAGGTGCTTGGACCAACTTTTAAACTTTAAACATTTTAAAATGTAAATGCTCCTAGGAAAGTATTGGTGTATTCGGATCCCAACTGCCTTTTTAATTATGGAAACTTTATTTTTGCAGTTACATTGATCTGATGGTTGCTATTGAGTGTGCCTTGCAGAAGTGTCCAAGGTGCACAGAGCATGCAAAGGTGCCCTCAGGTGTGCTGGGGACAGAGTGGACAGGCTGACTGAGTTTCACATGGCATTGGGCAGCAGCCATGGGCCCGGGGGTCAGTCAGGAGGGGACTCCTGCTGGTGTCTTGGGGAAGGCGTGACAGACTCAACACCAGAGGAACTTGAGCTGTGAGCTGAGACTTCAAATGCAATCCCCTTTCTTGGCATCAGTGTTCACATTTGAATGAGTTGCGTTCTTTTCCTAAATGATACTTTCAGATTATGAGGTTACTATAGCTCTCTCTAAGAAAACTTGGAAAATATAGAAAAGCAGGAGGGGGAGGATAAAGGGATTTATCCCACAGTGGGATAAATGTGTTAACATTTGTCTTTCCTTTCTGTGTTTTTATGTGTATTATTGAGGAAGTTTATTCAGTGCCCCTTGTTAAGGCATGGCAAGGTAAGGATCAGTGTAGCGAGATCTTGCAGTGGGGGAGAGCGACAGAGCTCAACTTCCAATACAGTGAGGACACATACATTTGAGCCAGGCAGGTGTGAGGTCAGTAGAGGAAAGTCCCTATCAGGAAGCTGGGGGCTTCTGGCTGCACTCCCCACCCCAGAGGATCTTGCTGAGGGCAGGCCAGGAGCAGATATTGCCTGGGCATCAAGGGTAGGATTCTTACTAAACTGACTTGGCTGGGTTTTAGATAAAGCTGAATTTTATAAAGAAGCACGCAGATGGTCTAGGAAGATTCAGGAGCCTGAGTAAAGTTTGGTCAAAGGGTCTTTGTCCATGTCTGCTGTATTTCTAAAAACTAAGAATTTGGACTTTTATGACAATACCTATATTCAATAAAATGTTATAATTTTTTATTCTTAGCTGAGCTTCAATCTTTATCTATTCCTGGAACTTACCAAGAGAAGATTACTCACCTAGGAAATTCTTTGATGAATTTATCAGGTCTGAAATCTTTAGATCTTTCACGCAACTCCTTGGTTAGTCTAGAGGTAAGTTTAAGGTTTCTTTTTATTTATTTTTTTATAATCTGTCTATAGTTTTATTATGTCGAGACTTTTTTTTTTATTGAATGGTAACTATGTACATTAATGCACTTCTAGGGTAAAGTTTCTTTCTTTCTTTCTTTTTTTTCTTTTTTTGAGACAGCGTCTCACTGTTGCCCTGGGGTAAAGTGCTGTGATGTCTTATCTCACAGCAACCTCAAATTCTTGGGCTCAAGCAACCCTCTTGTCTCAGCCTCCTGAGTATCTGAGACTATAGGCACCCATCATGACACCTATCTAGTTTTTTCTATTTTTAGTAGCGATGGTGTCTCACTCTTGTTCAGATTAGTCTCAAACTCCTGAGCTCAGGTGATCCACCTGCCTTGGCATCCCAGAGTGCTAGGATTACAGGTGTGAGCCAACATGCCTGGCCTAAAGTTTATTTCTTAAAAGAAAATGTATTGCTATCAATATCAGTGAAAGGTACATTTAGGGTAAAAAATACAATCTTTTGTAATTGTATGCTTAGCATACTTGTGAACTCTGGACTTAGAATGATTCGAAGTATTGTGTTATTTTTCTTATGTTTGCTTGAGCTGGATTTCTTATACATCTTCGCTAGCTATCTGATGAAGATAGTTGTCTCCTTAAAGGATGAAAGATAAGACCCCAAAGACTAAAGTGTGTGTGCTGACTGTACCTCTCCCATTGTACCCCCCCCCCCCAGACACTTTAATCTCCACTGCACTTTGTCTACATTCACAGTCTGGCACCTCAGACTGCCTCGGACAGCAGTGCAGAAAACGCCGGCTGTTGCTGTGTGCTGGGGGAAGGCACATGTCCTGGCAGGCAGTCACCTGGGGTGGTGGGGTTCAGGGGTTGTTGTGTAAACCTTGCCTGTGGCTGGAACTCCTGCCCTGGAACATGGTACTGTGTAGAGAGCACGTCTGATGCAGGGTCCAGCAATGTGGCTCTGAGCCAGGTGCAGGCTCCAGCCCAGGCTGCTGTCTTTGCTGGCATCCTTCTACCCACCCAGTCCTCAGCTTTCTAAACTGTGATTTGGGAGCACTCGTTGTTCTTACCCTCCAGGGCTGTGTGCAGATGAAAAGAGATTACATGTATGAATCTCTTTGTTCTCCACTCTCTTAACAATGGTGGTACATGTGACATCTTACATTTGCTACATGAATGTTTTACTGTGCAAAACATTGCCCTTCCCAGATGAGTGCACCTTTCACTTCTGTGCCTTTCCTGGCATGTATTCATTGCAAATGTGTTTATTAAGTTGGTTGATCAGAACATACGGTGGGTTAATTTACTGTGTGTTC